CGATACCCTCCTCGCTCAGGCGGGGCCTCCCTGGAGGGGTGGGAGGGGCACGAAACCATGTAAATAGTATGGTATTCCGATACCCTCCTCGCTCAGGCGGGGCCTCCCTGGAGGGGTGGGAGGGGCACGAAACCATGTAAATAGTATGGTATTCCGATACCCTCCTCGCTCAGGCGGGGCCTCCCTGGAGGGGTGGGAGGGGCACGAAACCATGTAAATAGTATGGTATTCCGATACCCTCCTCGCTCAGGCGGGGCCTCCCTGGAGGGGTGGGAGGGGCACGAAACCATGTAAATAGTATGGTATTCCGATACCCTCCTCGCTCAGGCGGGGCCTCCCTGGAGGGGTGGGAGGGGCACGAAACCATGTAAATAGTATGGTATTCCGATACCCTCCTCGCTCAGGCGGGGCCTCCCTGGAGGGGTGGGAGGGGCACGAAACCATGTAAATAGTATGGTATTCCGATACCCTCCTCGCTCAGGCGGGGCCTCCCTGGAGGGGTGGGAGGGGCACGAAACCATGTAAATAGTATGGTATTCCGATACCCTCCTCGCTCAGGCGGGGCCTCCCTGGAGGGGTGGGAGGGGCACGAAACCATGTAAATAGTATGGTATTCCGATACCCTCCTCGCTCAGGCGGGGCCTCCCTGGAGGGGTGGGAGGGGCACGAAACCATGTAAATAGTATGGTATTCCGATACCCTCCTCGCTCAGGCGGGGCCTCCCTGGAGGGGTGGGAGGGGCACGAAACCATTGATAAATAGTATGGTATTCCGATACCCTCCTCGCTCAGGCGGGGCCTCCCTGGAGGGGTGGGAGGGGCACGAAACCATGTAAATAGTATGGTATTCCGATACCCTCCTCGCTCAGGCGGGGCCTCCCTGGAGGGGTGGGAGGGGCACGAAACCATGTAAATAGTATGGTATTCCGATACCCTCCTCGCTCAGCGGGGCCTCCCTGGAGGGGTGGGAGGGGCAGTGATATGGTATGGTATGCTATGGTACGCCATGGTATGGTATGGTACGGTATGGTACGTATGGGTGGTATGGTATGGTATGGTATGGTATGTGTGGTAGGAACTATGGTATGGTATGGTGTGTGTGGTAGGAATAATATTGTGCTGTATGGAAGATGGAGCGGGAGGTGGGTGGGAAGGAGAGGGTGTTCTGGGAAAACAAGAACCCCACTCAGGATGTGGGGAACAAAAAGACTATTTGAACATATTTGGCGTTGTTTTGACTATTTTTGAACATCTTTGGAGTATTTTGGAGTATCTTTCACTCCTCGCCCAAACTCCGCCTGTGGGGGGACATGCCCGACCTAATCATAGGGGCGGCCCCGCGGGCGGCCCGGCAGCGATGGCGCACAAGTCCAACCCGTACAAGAAGGCGCGCTCGATGTTCCGGTGGAAGTGGAAGAAGAAGAGGATCGGGGGTGGAGGGTTTCTCCGAAGGGCTCAGGCGACCCGTCCTCCTCCTCCTCCTCCTCCTCACTTCTCCTCCTTCTCCTCTTCCTCCACCTCCTCCTCCTCCTCCATCTCCTCCTCCTCCTCCTCCTCCTCCTCCTCCTCCTCCTCCTCCTCTTCCCCTTCTTCCTCCTCCTCGGGTCGCCTACGGCCCCGGGTGAAACCGTGCAATCAGGATCTTGGGACAATCGAAATGGGTACGGAAAGAAAGGGTACAAAGACCGACAGCAGTGCCTGTTCATCTTGAGCAGGACTTGCTGTCGGCGTCACCGCGGCCTGTGTCCATTTGAGACAGAAGGCCGTCTGCCCAACCGCGGCCGCTGTTGGTTTCGGGCAACGTTGGCTGGTGGGCATTGTACACATTTTTTCTGTACCCGTTGCGGGCGTCCAAAGGATCGGGGGCGGCCAAGAGGGGGTGATGTTTAGGGGGGGTTAGAAATCATGGCGTGGGCCATGATTTTGCCTCAGACTTCAGGGCGCCTCTTCTTATCATTTCATTGCGTCCCTGGCCCCCCCCCACCACCCCCTGGGCCGCGCACATGCCGCTGGCCATGATTTGCGCCCGGCCCTCTTGGACGCCCTCCTCTTGACCGACCCCGAGAGGACGCGCCGGCTGCAAAAGAAGCGCCGCAAGATGCGGCAGCGCTCGAAGTGAGCGGTGAGCCCAGTGCCCCGCTTGCCCGCCGTTCCGGATCGTAGCACGATAAGGACTCGTCTCGCGCTTGGCTGCTATCATGGCGTTTTTGCTGGTTCTCTCGCCCTTCTCGGGCTCACCCCAATATTGGAGTTAAGTCGGGCACCTCCCCCTACGGGCCGATGTTGGACGAAACATTCAAAATATTCAAAACATATTGACAAATACATATCGTCCCCATTCTCTTTTTAATAATATTTTGAATATTCCTCTAGAAGGACAGGCCCGACTTCAAATTGGAGCCTGTTGGATCTGCGCGTGCCGTCTACTCCTCTGCATGTGCGGAGGTGAGCGGGAACCATCCCCCTCCCCAACAACAGCAAACATTGGGAAGCTGGCCCTAGGGAAGGGCTCGGTATCCACAGGTCCTGAGGGGCCCAGGTCCCGATTCGGAGACGCTGACGCATCTTCAGTTTGGCTTGCGAGCCTCGGTCGCCTACGAGGGTGCTTGAGACGGAGGAGGTGTGAGGAGGGAGAAGCATGGGGAGGAGGGGGGATGAGGAGGGATGGACGAGCAGGAAGCAGGAAGAGGCATGACGAGGTGAAGGGCGAAGGATGGGGAGGAAAGAGGGAGGATGATTGAAGGCCATGCGATGTTGATGAATATTGACGAAGATGATGAAGATGCAGATGATATATATATATATATACACATATGAATCAGATGAAGATGATGCTGGTGCTGATGATGGTTGTTGTGGTGATGATGGTGAGGAGGATGATGCTGATGCTGATCGTGGTGATGATGAGTGTACCTGCGACAACGACGATGACGATGATGCTGACGATGATGCTGACTATGTTGATGATGTTGTTGATGATGATGCTGATACTGATGCTGATGCTGCTGCTGATGACGATGATGATGACGAGGAGTAAGAGGAGGAGGAGGAGGAAGAGGAGGAGGTGGAGGAGGATACTTAGAAAGGAAGGCAGTGAGGAGGAGGGGGGTATGAGGAGGGATGTATAATCATGGAGGATCGGTGAGGGGATTAGGGATGAGCAGGAAGGGTCAGGAGGGATGTAGAGATGAGGGGAGATGAGGGGTGCAGTATGATCTAGGAGGGTGAGGAGGCTGAAGGACGATGGACGAGTATGGATCATGAGGACGAGAACGACGAGGAGAACGAGGAACATGAGGAGGATGAGGAGGATGAGGAGGAGGAGGAGGGAGGAGGAGAAAAGGGAGGATATATGGGTGGATGGAGTGAGGAGGAGGGGAGCTTCTGGTGGCCAGGCGGTCTTGTGTAACATTTGGAAGCCGATTCGAACAAGCACGTCCGCTTACAGTCAAGACGCTGAAATAACGAGAAGTTCGGGTTCTGACGGGGCTGGCTGTTCCGTATGTCATTCGACGGTTGTTAGCTTCAAGGGTTCCTCGTTCATTGGGCCTCCCTCCGGGAGGCTTCCTTCCCTGTTTGTACACGTCCATTGGGCAGATAATCGATTAGCAGGTGCGTTGGTTCAGCAGGCGTTGCCGAGTTTCAGCAACACGTGTGTGATTTGAATGGGGCTACTCGCGAAGCTGGTTCCGAGCCGACTGCCTCGCTGTTTCGGTGTCTGCGTTCAGGATCGCTGCGTTCACGCATCGACGGCCGTCGTTTCTGTGGGTCGCTGCATCCACTTACAGTCAACCTGCATAGTAAGGATGGGCAACCTTCCCGATGGTACCCTTGCATCCTTGCCTCCTCGGTCCATCCTTCGCCGCTTTCGCTGGCCGCGCCCCGCTCGAAAAGCTTCGAAATGGGCGTCCAAGGCCCTTGCATCCCTATCGCGCATCCTTCCTATACGGGTGGACTGTGCCCTGTCGACCTGTCATCCTGCGCAGGGGCCACGACATCCCGGGCCTGCCTCCGGCAGTTCCGCCGCGGTGCCCGCGCAGCATGCTGGGCAGCTCTGCTCGGGAAGGCAAGGGGGGCTGCTGGGGGGCCTCTTAGGGCAGACGGCTCGAGGCTCGATGATAATAATAAGACTAATAATCTTTGTGGTCATCAGGAGGATCTGAGTAATAACCAGAATAATCATATTAATATCTGTAATACTCGTAGTAATAATATCAATAGTAATACTATCCCGCTATTGCACCCGTCTTGGGGCCGTCTCGAGACCCTCCTGGGCAGTCTGGGGCGCCGCTTGGGCCGTCTTGGAGGCCTCTTGGGCCGTCTTGGAGCTCTCTCGGGGGCTGCTTGAGCCGTTTCGGGGGAGTCTTGGGGGTGCCTCTTGGGCCGTCTTGGAGCGTTGGAGGTTCGAACAGGCGAGAACCCCAACCACATGCACAATTCTGCGGGTAATCAATTCTGTTTGCCTCTTGGGGCCCTGTCGTGGGGGGTGACATCTTGGGCATTCTGGGGCGCCTCGTGGGCCGTCTTGGAGGCAATCATTTGCTTTTGTTTCTCGGGGCCCTGTAGGCCTGTAGGGGGCCTCTTGGGCCGTCTTGGGGCCCTCCTTGGGACCTCCTGGGCCGTCTTTGGGCAGTCATGGTGGCCTCCTGAGTCGTCTTGGGACGTCGGAAGATCGAAACGGCGAGAACTCGGAAAGCATTGAAACACCTAATTAAAGGGGCTCTTTTTGGGACGCCTCGACGGCCTCGTGGGCCGTTTTGAGGCCATCTTGGGCCGTCTTGGAGACATCTGGGCCTCGTGAGCGCGAGCCCGTCGCAGTCTGCGAGGGAGTATGGCCTCGGGAAGCGGGGGCCGTGCGCGCAGCGACGTGCGACCGGGAGGGGGGGGGCTTCCACTAGACAGTTGCAGAAACCCGACCAGACAGACCTTGGCATTCTCGCGCGCCTCCACGTGCTCGAGGCACGGTGGCGGCTCCCTCGTGCCGCTCTGCTCGCTGCCCGCAGCCTCTGGCGGCCCAGGCTGGGCTGCTCTTGTGCAGACGCGGCCGGGCCTGGGCACGATGGCGACCACGGCCCCCGTCGGGCCGGCTGCGCACGGGCACCCCAGGTTCGGATGCGACTCCTGGGAGGTAGAGTTCGGACTTTGCCCTGGTCCGACATCCCGCTGCATCCGGCTCAATCCCGCTGAAGATCCGGTTTGCTTCCGCCGATTCCGAGGCCCCCTCCGGCGCAACGGCGCCCGAGTGGGCCTCAGTCTCTTTCTTAACCCAGACCCCCAACGTCACGATTCTTCATGACGCGGCCCCAAAAGAGGTCCGGACCTATTCGCCAGGACCAGTCCTTCATCCCGAGTCGTCTCTTGGCGGCCCCGAGGGCCGGTGAGGCTTCCCAGAGGCCGAACATGGCGGAAAACCTCCGCCTTGATTTTTTTGCAATGCGTTGGATCTCTGGGAATCCTTCCGACGAAGACCTCCCAGCAGGTGCCTCCCGGCCCAGGTCCTTCCGAGGCCTCCCCCTCGACGGCTCCTGCCGGGTCGCGGGCGCGCTGGCCGCGAGCGTGCGGGCGCTCGCCGGCGCCCCGCCCGGCGCGGCGGCCTCCTCCGCGCCGCGGCCCGCCGCGCCGCGGGGGCCGGCGGCCGACGGCGCCGCCGCAGGCTGAAGCAGCGGCGAAGCGTCCTGGCTCGCCCACAGGCCTTCCAAAAAAGAATGTTCTGAGAGCCATCTCTGGTGTCAACTGACTGTTCTTAGAACATTTCTGGCTGGGACCGTCGCGCTTTCACACACAGGTATTATGTCCTGAGAGCTTGGCTTCTGTTCTCAGAGCACTTTTGGGTTCCAAGAAGACTTCGTGGCAGGCCTATAGAGCCTAGAGCAGATGCCGGGACGGCCGGTCCCTGCCCACGCAGGCGGCGCGTGCGAGCGCGGCGCCTCCTGCGAGCCGCCCGCGCCCGAGCGGTGCCCCGCGCTGCGGGCCTCGGCCTGCAGGTCGGAGAGAGGAGAGCCCAGAGATTCTTCAGAGCCCCGAATCATCAGGGGTAACTCGGGTCAGGGATAACTCGGGTTCGTTTTTTCGGGAATCCGAACCCGAGTTATCCCGGACCCGAGTTACCCCGGATAGTTCGGGCGTCCAGAGCCCCGAATCATCAGGGGTAACTCGGGTCAGGGCTAACTCGGGTTCCTTTTTCGGGAATCCAAACCCGAGTTACCCCGGACCCGAGCTACCCCGGATAACTCGGGCGTCCAGAGCCCCGAATCATCAGGGGTAACTCGGGTCAGGGATAACTCGGGTTCGTTTTTTCGGGAACCCAAACCCGAGTTACCCCGGACCCGAGTTACCCCGGATAATTCGGGCGCCCAAATTCTGGAGGAGGAAGAGGCATGTGCACGGCGATCAGTGGAGATCTGGACGCCCGAAATGGATACGGGAAGAATGGGTACAATGCCCAACAGCAGTTCCGCAGTTCCTGTTCATTTCGAACAGGACTCGCTGTTCGCGCCGCCGCGGCCTTTGTCCATTCGAGACAGAAGGTCGCCTGCCCAACAGCGGCCGCTGTTGGCTTGATACAACATTTGTTGTTGGGCATTGTACCCATTCTTTCCGTACCCATTCCGGGCGTCCAGATTGTGGACGCCGATCAGTGGAGAGGGAGCATGTTGCCAAAAATCTTCCAGACGTCTTAAACAAGTGAGACCCGAGAAAAACAAACAATCATAGTCTTTTTCGGGCTGTAGGCTATAGGGCTATATGGGCTGTAGGGCTATTGGGCTATAGGGTAGTAGAGCTACAGGGCTATAGGGCTATAGGGCTATAGGGTATAGGGGTATAGGGCTACAGAGCTATAGGGCTATACAGCTATAGGGCTATAGGGCTATTGAGCTATAGGGATGTAGGGCTATCGAGCTGTAGAGCTGTAGGGCTATAGGGCTATTAGGCTATAGGGCTATAGGGCTTTAGGGCTATAGGGCACCCCCGGGCATCCGGGCACCCCAGGGCACGCCCGGGCACCCGGGCACTCGGGCACCTGGGCACCCGGGCACCCCCGGGCACCCGGGCACCCGGGCGTGCAGCGAAAATCGGCGGCAAACCTAACCTAACCATATGAATCCGCTGGGACCCCTACAGAGGCAAGCTCTGATTGGGGAATAGTTTGAACATGCCTTAAAAACCTGTGAGAGCAGGTTATCAGCATTTCGAGGCCAGTTCCCAAACACTTAAGACAACACATCTTTCATTCAATGGTAGGACTGTTAGGATGCCCAGTGTCATGGCATCCGCAAGAAAAGGTACCCATACCTCTACCCTTCGCTGGTGTTCCCCCTTTTCGGGCCACCTGGGAGGCCCTCGTCGCCACCGCTGGATTCGCGTCGAAGTCCTGGTCCAGAAGTCGCCCCAGGAGAGGTCTGGGGAGTAGCAGTCCTGTTTGGTTTCCCCAGACATGCGCGCGTCGTAAACAAAGTTAGGACTGGAGGTGCTAGGCCCTGTTGGCCTTCTGTGGGGGCCTTACCAGGCCCCATGGACTAGCAATCAAAACGCTTCAGGAGGGGAAGGTGCCACTACCCTGGCGACGTGCCCAAACCCTGCGCAACGCGTGGCCAGATTAGTTGGGTAGACTTTTTTGGGGGTGACAACGTTGCACGGAAGTATGTTTTCTGCCAGCGTTACTTGGGAGGCTCGCTAGCTGCGCGACTCGCACGGCACCAATCGATGGACAAGGGTTTCATGGAGATGATTAGTTAGGTCCCTGGGGCGAGCTTTCGTTTTTTTATCGCGTAAGACGTTACTCCGCTGACCCTCCAGCAGCCCTCGACAGTGGCGAAAGTTTCCCAATTCACACTCCCCCAGCGACGGCGAGATCCCGCTCTGATTTGCGTAAGACGTTACTGTGCTGTACCCACAGCAGCCCTCGACCATGGCAGCACCCCAACGACGGCGAGGTTCCGTTCTGATTTGCGTAAGACGTCATCCCGCTGGACCCCCAGCAGCCTTCGGAAGTTGCGGCAGCTTCACAGTTCGCAGCCTCCAGCGACGTGACGGCGAGGTCCCGCTCTGATCTGCGTAGGACGTCACTTTGCTGCCCCCCTACCCGCAACCCTCGACAGCGGCGCCACTTTCGCAGGTCGCAGCCCCAGCGATTGTGAGGTCCCGCTCGGATCTGCGTAAGGATCATTCCGCTGGACCCCCCCGCAGACTTCGACAGTGACGACAGTTTCGCAGTTCGCAGCTCCCCAGGGATGGCGAGATCGGAGGCAAGTACGAGAGAGGTACGAGACAAGAGGAGAGAGAGAGAGAGAGAAACAACAACACAAACCAAACAGAGAGAGAGAGAGAGAGACAACAAACACAAAGGAAGGATGGGGCGGGAAGGAATGACACGACCACAGTGCTTTATTCAAGACGAGAACCCAACAACAGAGGGTTGGGAAAACCTGCCCCGGGGAAAGGGTCGGGACTTCGGGGGCTCCGTCTTGAAATAATCAAGAGATCTTATATCTGAGGAGACACCGATGCCGCAACTGTTCTTTCCTCGCCGCAGCTGGATTCGCCTTGGTTTCCTGGTCCTAACGCGCCCCAGGAGAGGTCCATGGAGTACGGTGGGGGCGCTGGTTCAGAAATGTAATCGGGAGGCTTCAGACCTTGGGGGATTGCTTGCCTGATGAGGTCGGCATCGGGATCCATGGCCCATCCACGATTGGAGCTCCATTGGCTTCCAGGCCCCGGATTTCGTACCCAATGGCTCCTTACTCAATGCCTTCACCGCAGCGGTATCTCCCTGCTTCCCCTGCAGGCCTGCGTCGCCGATGTTCGCCGCCGATTTCTCCACACTGGCGTCGCCGACGCATCGCCGACGTTGCCGATGCAGCGCCGGCGATTCGGCGCGATCCTCTGACCCCATCTTTTCGGGCCCGATATAGTCGAGGTTGATCAGCAGGTCGACCCTGCCAAATCGAGGGCACCCTTGCGTCCTCTGTTTCCTCTGTTTCGCGACCCATGCCTCCTACATTCCTATGTCGCTGTGGCCCCCGGACGGGTCTTGTGTTATGATGTTCCAACCTACTTTAGCCTTGACCACCAGAAAGAATGTCGAGTACCATGAAAGTACCGAAACTGGTGAGTGTTCACTTGTCGGGCCCTGGGAGGTGATACTCGTTCGACGCTGTCTCGATACTTTTCTTTGTGCTCGAAATTATTTCTGGGATGTGGTCCTTACTCCGAGGTTCTTGATAAGCGTCGAGGGGGCGTCACCCCCACCGACAGCCCCGCACCGACCCCCGTTGCGCGCGTCCATCGCGCGCCAAAGGCGCTCCGACCCCCCGTCGCGGCGCGACGGCGAGGCGAGGTTTACACCCGTCGGGGGGGTACCCCCCAACGCTTCTTAAGAAACCCAGAGTAAGTACAATGGGAGCAACATGAAGTCGGGCCTGTCCCTCCACAGGACGAATATTCAAAAATGGTGAAAAATAGTCGGGGGACGATTTTTTAAATACCATTTTTGAATTGTTTTTGAACTGTTTGGTTACTTTTGATGTTTCGCCCCAAATCCCTCTGTAGGTGGCCAGGCCCGACCTAAGTCTCGTGTCCTCTTGCGTGTCCTTTTGCACGCGATCTCGACTGCATATGGGAGGCTCCTGCTGCTTCCCCTGCAGGCCTGCAGGCCTGGCTTGGCTCGGGGGCTTGGGGCTTTTGGCGCTTCGTGGTTGCAATCCGGTGTGCTACTTTTTAGTCGGGCCTGTCCCTCTACAGGAGGAATATGTAGGAAGTCAAAAAAAAATAGGGGACGATTTTTATATACGGCAGCCCCAGGAATCCTTAGGAATCCTTAGGAATTTTTAGGAATCCTTAGGAATCCATTCCCAGAACATAATTCCCAGGCCACATTTGGAATGCCAGGAGCCAACCGTAGGCCACTTCGTGTTTTTCGTGTTCCCAGAACACCATTCCCAGGCCACATTTTGAATGCCCGGAGCCAACTGTAGGCCACTTCGTGTTCTTCGTTTTCCCAGAACACCATTCCCAGGCCACATTTTGAGTGCCCGGAGCCAACCGTAGGCCACTTCGTGATCTTCGTGTTCCCAGAACACAATTCCCAGGCCACATTTTGAATGCCCGGAGCCAACTGTAGGCCACTTCGTGTTCTTCGTATTCCCAGAACACAATTCCCAGGCCACATTTTGAATGCCCGGAGCCAACCGTATGCCACTTCGTGTTCTGCGTGTTCCCGGAAGATCTTTCCTGAGGCAGGCTGAGGCTGAGGCAGGTTGAAACTGAGGCTGAGGCAGGCTGAGGCTGAGGCTGAGGCTGATGCAGGCTGAGGCTGAGAGGCTGACGCTGAGGCTGAGGCAGGCTGAGGCTGAGGCTGAGGCAGGCTGAGGCTGAGGCTGAGGCTGAGGCTGAGGCAAGCTGTGGCTGAGGCAGGCTGAGGCTGAGGCTGATGCAGGCTGAGGCTGAGACAGGCTGAGGCTGAGGCTGAGGCAGGCTGAGGCTGAGGCTGAGGCTGATGCAGGCTGAGGCTGAGGCCGAGGCAAGCCAAAGCAGGCTGAGGCTGAGGCTGAGGCTGATGCTGAGGCAGGCTGAGGCTGAGGCAGGCTGAGGCCGAGGCTGAGGCAGGCTGAGGCTGGGGCAGGCTGCTGCTGAGGCCGAGGCAGGCTGAGGAGGCTGAGGCAGGCTGAGGCTGAGGCAGGCTAAGAGGCTGAGGCTGAGGCTGAGGCTGAGGCTGAGGCTGAGGCTGAGGCTGAGGCTGAGGCTGAGGCTGAGGCTGAGGCTGAGGCTGCAGGCTGAGGCTGAGGCTGAAGCTGATGCAGGCTGAGGCTGAGGCAGTGGCTGAGGCTGAGGCAAGCTGCGGCTGAGGCAGGCTGCGGCTGAGGCTGATGCCGAGGCAGGCTGAGGCTGAGGCTGAGGCAAGCCGAGGCAGGCTGAGGCTGCGGCTGAAGCTGAGGCAGGCTGAGGCTGAGGCTGAGGCAGGCTGAGGCTGAGGCTGAGGCAAGCTGCGGCTGAGGCACGCTGAGGCTGAGGCTGATGCAGGCTGAGGCTGAGGAAGGCTGAGGCTGAGGCTGAGGCTGAGGCAGGCTGAGGCTGAGGCTGAGGCCGAGGCGGGCTGAGGCTGAGGCCGAGGCAAGCCGAGGCAGGCTTAGGCTGAGGCTGAGGCTGAGGCTGAGGCTGAGGCTGAGGCTGATGCTGAGGCAGGCTGAGGCTGAGGTAGGCTGAGGCTGCGGCTGAGGCAGGCTGAGGCTGGGGCAGGCTGAGGCTGAGGCCGAGGCAGGCGAATCCTTCTGACTCCTTAGGATTCCCCAGGAATCCTTAGGAATCCCTAGGAATCAGGATTCCTAAGGATTCGTAAGGTTTCCTAAGGATTCCTATGGATTCCTAAGGATGCCTAAGGATGCCTTAGGAAGCCCTAGGAATCCTTAGGATTTCATTGGATCCTAAGGCCGTTGCCACTGCGATTGTCATTGCGAATGCGACTGCGACTGCCGGTGGGCTACTTGTGCCTTAGGAATTCGACATGTTGCGATGCGTCCGTGTCTACACCCAATTCTTTATCAATCGACCCCCCCCTAAGAAACCGGACCCCCCTTCAAATGCGACCTCATATTCTGGACCCCCCTCTTCGACGGGGTGCCTTGATAAACCGGACCCCCTAAGCTCCAATCCAAAGGAAGCGCCCTAATAAGCCAGACCCCCCCAGTTACAAAAAAGTCGCGTTAAAAAATCGGACCCGGGGGACGATTGACAAGGGATTTGGAGTAGTTGTTGCAATCGGTCCGAAAACTGGTTCGTGCACGGGCCGAAGTGGTTGCGATCGGCACTCCCGCAGATCGCCGTTGCCAACACATTGCAACATCGCAGGGAAAGCACGACCAGAGCCCCAGACTCCATCTCTCTGCGTTCTTTCTCGAGCCTGATCGATCACGTGCGGGCCCTGGAGCCTGACGTTGAGCGACAACACCCCGTTTGTGAACCCAGACATGCGACGCCCTGATTCTTTCAGGACGGCGTCCCCGGAAGTCCAGACCTATTCGCCGGGACCGGTTTTTCATCCCGAGCCGTTTTTTGACGGTCCCGAGGGCCAGTAAGGGCTCCCAGAGGCCGAAAATAGTGAAAAACCTCCCGTCGTAATTTTTTCACGACTCGAGGAGGTCTGGGTTGAGCGACAACACCCCGCTTGTGAGCAAAATTGCCACGCCAGGATCTCAGGGGAGGCGGTCGCGATCGGTCCTGCTTCCCCTGCAGGCCTGCATCCCTGGCCTGGCCCGCGCCGGCGGCCCGCGGGGCGCCCGCGCTGTGCGGCGGCGGCCGGCTGCGCGGCGGGTCGCCGCCGCCGCCGCCGGCGGAGGCCGCCGTCGCCGAGGCGCCGCGCGGCCGCCGCGGCAGCGGCGGCAGCCGCGCCGCGGCGGCGCGGCTGGCGCCGGCGGGGAGCCCGGCGGCAGCCCGCGGCGGCAGCCCGCGGCGCGGCGGCAGCCCACGGGGCAGCCCGCGCCGCGGCGGGAGCCCGCTGGGCAGCCCGCGGCGCAGCGGCTGGGTGAGCCCGAGGACCCAGGCCCCCTCGCGTCGTGCAGAACATCGCGACGGCAAGTGTGTCGCTATGTTCTGCCTCGGGGGGCCCTCGCCGGACCTCGGGGCCGTCAACAACGATTCAGTCGGGGGTGGACAGAACCCCCAACAGTGACACGTCGATTAGTGAATTGTCTGTTTTCGGTTCTCGAGATGGCGCCGTGGCCGTTATTTTCCAGGCTTACGCCCGCCAGGTTTGGGCCTTAGGTCGTTTTCACTAAACCACGTTTTACTAAAGGGGGGTCTGTCCATCCCCGATTCAGGATGAAAAACTGGCCCGGGGGAAAGGGTCTGGACTTCCGGGAACACCGTACTGAAGAAATCAAGACGTCGTATGTCTGAGGAGCTCCGACGCCGAGTTGCCATGTTCTCACACCGGGCGATGTTGCCCGGCTTCGGGCCTGAAGGGGGCCCTCACAGATCCATCCCGCTCGAAGGAAAGGCTTGGAGAGGAGCTCAAGAACGCGGAGCGCCGAGTAAGAAGGTACGCCATAAGCATAGACTTTTGGCGCTCCGCGCGGGTTCTTTGGATCCGCGCCAGGCTCCCCGCCGACAGGGTGGTCCGGCGCAGATGCAAGAACTCCTTGCGGAGCGCCAGCAGCTTATGTTTCTATGACTTGTCCTCTTCCTGCAGAGTTGCCATTTTTGCACACATTGGCCGGTGTGGCCCAGTTTCGGGCCCCGGGGCCCTCCCAGATCGATGCGGCTCGCAACAAGTGCCGCAGAGAGAGGCAGGGTGCCTGGGGCTCTTCGGTTTTTTGTTCGCGATGTTTTTGTTCTGTCGTCGCGACGTCGCATCTCGGGGGAGAAGGAAAAGACAGACCGACACTGCCCTCAGAGGAGGGCCAGTCGAGATGACGGTAGCGGTCCTTCGGGGGGCCCCACTCGTCGGCACGGCTGGGCGCAGGTCGGAAAAAGCTGGCACATTTGGATCCAGGGATGGGTCCCCAGGGACAGGTTGCAGATACCACAGTCTCAACTCGCCATCCTCCGACGCTATCCTTCGAAGAAGAAGAAACTCCATAGAAGTAAACTTTTGGCGCTCCGCGCGGATTTCTTGGATCCGCGCTGGGCCCCCCCAGCAGCCCCTCCGGCGCCGCCCCTGGCGCGCTCCGCGCGCCAGGAAGGGGGGTCCAGCGCAGATGGGAGAAATCCGCGCGCAGCGCCAACAGTTTATGTTCATGGCGTTTTTTCTCCTTCCAATCCTTCCTTTGTTTTCGCCGTATTGGGCTTGGTGGTGGCGCAGGGCAGCGAGACCAGCTCGAGGAGGCGGTCTCAGTGCCGCGCCAGGCGTAGGCGTCGGCGGCCTCGCCCTCGTCCCTCATGGTCGGCCTCTTTCCCCAGAGGACCTTAGAGATGTCAGAGGAGGAACATCGGGGGCGGCAAAGAGGGGGGTGATGACTAGGGGTGTGTGGACATCATGGCGGGGGGCATGATGTTTCTCCAGATTTCATGGCGCCTCTTCTTATTTCGTTACGTCCCTGCCCCCCCCCCTGGGCCGCGCACATGCTGCCGGCCATGAGTTGCCCCCCCCCCCCCCCACCCTTGGACGCCCACCTCTTGGCCGATCTCGAGAAAAGGCACCGATGCCGTCACCCTTACCTCGTTGGCGCTCTTCTGGGCCTCCCCTGGCAGGCCCTCGTCGCCACGGCTGGCTGCGCCTCGGAGCGCAGGTCAGGGTGCACCCCGGGGGGTCAGCAGGACAGCGGCATCGGAATTTGTTCGGCGGCGAGCAAGGGGGGAAGTGAGAAGGAGAAGGCCTTCTCAGAAAGCGGCGGGACTTCTCAGAAGCCCCCGCGCCTTCGGCGAGTTTTTTTTGTTTGTGTCTTCGGGGAAGGCTCAGAAGCTTCTCAGAAGGCCGGGGGGCTTCCGAGTCTTCTGAGAAGGCCTTCCCTCAGGAGGGGGAACAAAAACACAGACACATGTTATCATCGACTTCCAGGAAAATATGGGAAAAAGATGGGAAGTGGGGGGGAAGACGAACCCCCGGAACATATGGGAGAAACTAGTGGAGATCCTGGGATTTGCGTGCATTTATTTGTGTCTCCCTGGGCCCTCCTCTTCTCCTTCTCGCTTCCCCCCCTCGCTCGCCGTCAATTTTGTTGGCTTCCCCCAAAAAAAAGGAGGGCGGCGTCCCCGGGCGCGGACCCCGCCGCGGCGAGCCGGCGGCTGGACTTCTGGCGGATCGGGGGGGCGGTCGTGGACGCGGCGCTGTACAGGATGGGGCGCGCAGCAGGTGGGCACCACCCACATCTGTATTGCGAAGGCCTTACGGCCGTTGCCGCCGACCCTGAAGATGACGAAAGACAACACGAGGGGGGGGGCAGGAGGAGGAGGAGGAGGAGGAGGAGGAGGAGGAGGCGGAAGGGAGTAGGAGGAGGAAGGGTGAAGGGGGAGGAGGAGGAGGCCTTATGGATGTTGGTTGGGATCTCGTGGTTGGGCCGCGCAGCAGGTGGGCACCACCCACATCTATATTTCATACGATCCGGCGATCGCAGACAGGGATCAAGGGGGGCGTGGATTCGCGACGGGTCCCGTCTCCTTCTTGGAGATCGCGGACTTCCGCCGCCGAGCGAGGCGGCACCGGCAGCGTTTTGGGTATGGCACCTCCCCCGATCTATGGATTTGGCGACCGCGCGCCAAAGCCATGGATCGCTAATCCATGTTTGCTCGCCCCCGATACCATATGTGCGTCGGCGCCCCACGGGGAGGAGAGAGTTCTGATGGGCCAATTTTCTACCACCGCTACCATAGGCAGGAGAGGGAGGAGAGGGAGGAGAGGGAGGAGAGGGAGGAGGAGGAGGAGGAGGAGGAGGACGAGAGGACGAGGAGGAGGAGGAGGAGGAGGAGGAGGAGGAGGAGGAGGAGGAGGGGGAGGAGGGGGAGGAGGAGGAGGAGGAGGAGGAGGGGGAGGAGGATGAGAAGGGGGAGGCGGTCGTTGACGCGGCGCTGGACAGGATAGGGCGCGCAGCGGGCGGGCACCTCGCACACGTACTTGTACAGTGGCGGCCCATGCCAAGAAACACCCTGCTTGCCTCCAGGGTGCCCTGGGTTTCCTGTTTTTTTCTATGGTTTTGCCACAAAAGGCGTGACGTTCCCACGCCAAAGATGGATGGACGTCCTGGGGTCTCAAGGTTGTGTTTCTTGTGGAAGGTTTTTTGTGGTCGGGCCCCTACTGCATGTGCGTCGGTACTATTAGGGGCGTTTCAGAAAGGGCCCTGCCTTTGAGGATCGAGGGAGTTGCCACCTCTTCCGCGGCGGAAGGCTGCGGAAGGGCGGCAGCAGGTCGGCGGAAGCAAACCGGGGGCGGTTCCGCAGGCGGAAGCCGGCGGAAGCTCGGCGGAAGCCGACGGAAGTAGAAATTGCGCCCCCAGGAGATGAACACGTTTTTTGGGGTGCAGGATTTCCGAAATCGCCCATCTGTGCGTCGGCGCCCCACGGGGAGGAGAGGGTTCACCTTTTCCTTTTGTCTGTGCGTTCGTTGTGAACGTGTGCATCGTTGTAGCCGCGCGGGGCGGCGAGTCTCTCGAGGACCGCAGCGCAAGGGTCCCGGACTTTTTGATCTCTCGGCGAAGGCACCAGGCAAATCAAGGAAAACGGTCGAATGAAAGGTCCGCGAACAAAAATCGAAGAAGAAAAAACGCCATAAGCATACATTTTTGGCGCTCCGCGCGGATTTCTTGGATCCGCGTTGGGCCCCCCGGCGGCGCCTCCAGCGCCGCCCCTGGCGCGTTCCGCGCGCCAGGGAAGCGGGGTCCAGGTCAGATCCAAGAAATCCGCGCGGAGCGCCCAAAGCTTATGTTTATGGCTTTTTCTTCTTCCAAAACTCGCAACAGGAATCGAGTTGAAGCGCAGGGACTTTCTGTATGTATGAGAAGCAGCCTGAGCCTGGGCTGATATCAGCGTGCGTGTGAGGATGCCTTAAGCGAAACCATTGTGTGTTACGTGCGGTGCGTGCAGCAACGTAAGGGGAATTCTAGACGCTTCGCGTAACTCCACCAGCCTTGACGTGCCTCTGCAGCCAATTATCTCGCTCTGTGCCCCAGACGTTAATCCCGCTCCCTGGATCTGTCCTTCGAGCCGCGAACCAAAAAGTAACTCCACCAGCCAACCCAGAAACGGTGTCCAGGCAAGCTGCCCTGATCGAGCATGTGGGGGCGCACGCAGTGGAATAACAGTTGGGAAGCCGTCAAACCCCAAGAAGGGGAGGATGGAGGAGGAACCCGAGGAGGAGGAGGAGAAGAAGGAGGAGGAGGAGGAGGGAGAAGGGCGAGGAGGGAGGAGAGAGAAGGGATGAGGGAGGAGGTGGATTAGGTGGATGAGGAAGATGAAGAGGAGGAGGGCGAACAGAAAGGCTAGGGCCCTCTTGGATACTTTTCGGAGGTTTTCCCGATATCTCTTGGGAGCTTCTTGTAGACCTGTTGGGTCGTCTTCGGGGCCTCTTGGCTGTCCCGGGGGCCTCTTGAAGCGTTTTGGGTGCCTCTTGGGTGCCTCTTGGAAGCCTCTTGGGGGCATCTTGGGGGGTCTTCTTGGGGCCTCCTGGGCGCCTTTTTGGGCCCTCATGGTGCACTCTTGGGAGCCTCGGGGGCAATCTTGGGGCCATCTGGAGGTGATCGATCAAAGAAGGGGGAGGGCGAATTAGCTTCGTGACCCAACACCGGTATGCAATCAATGATTTGGGCCTTCTCGCCGAGACCATCTTGGACGCTCTAACGCCCCGCCGCTCACGCCGCCCAGGTCCACGGGGAGGGGGTAAACCCCTCACCGAAGGGAAAGACATGGGGTTGGAAGAGGACCCTCCCTAAACCACTGACGTCCTAAACCTGAGGAAACCCACGTGAAACCGCCAGAAAAACCGCTGGCGTTCTCGATCGAGTCCCCAGCTGAAGCTGCATTCTCCGCTATGCAACGGGGCTAGTTTTTTACAGATATCCATACAGACAGACAGGCAGGCAGACAGACAGACAAACAGACAGACATACACTCATGCATACAAACATACATACATACGAGCGTACATGCATCCATCCATCCATCCATACATACATACATGCATACTTACACGCACACTCACACTCATTCATTCGTTCGCACATACGTACATAATGCACACATACGTAAATATCTACATACCTTCATACATAAAATACTGAAATACATACATGCATACCTACATATACACAACCATACTTGCATATATTCATACAGGTGTATACATACATGCATACATATATACATACATACATACACACATACATACATACGTACATACGCACATACATACATACATGCATACATACATCCACACATACATACATGCATACATCCATACATACATACATGCATACCCCCCATACATGCATGCATGCACACATACATACACACATACATTCTCCCACACATAAAAATATACACGCGTGCATACATACATACATACACACATACATACATACATACACACATACATACATAAATACACACGTGCAAACATACATACATACAAACTTACACACATACATACATACACGCACATAAATACGTACATGCATACATACATGCATACATGCATACATACATACATACACACATACATACATGATCCCATACATAAACATATACACGCGTGCATACATGCATACATACATACATACATACATACATACACACATACATACAGACATACATACACACATACATACATCTATTTATACACACGTGCATACATACATAGATGCAAACTTACATACACACATACACACAAACAAACGTACATACATACAAACATACATGCGTACATACATACATACATGCATACATTCATACATGCGTACATGTATACATGCATACACACATGCATACATGCTCCCATACATAAAAAATATACACGCGTGCATGCATACATACATTTCCATATACATAGAGACATACATACACACATCCATACAACTATACACACGTGCATACATACATACATACAACCTTACATACATACATACAAGCGTACATACGTACATACACACATACATACGTATGTACATACATACATACCGACATGCATACGTACACACATACATACATGCATACATACAGATATACCTACATACATACATACTTACTCACTTGCATACTTACATACATACTTACATACATACAGACATACATACCTACAAACATACATACCTACATACGTACATACAGACATACATACACATACATACATATATACACACGTGCATACATACATACATATATACATACACACTTACATACATACACACATCCATACATACACACATACATACGTACGTACACACATACATACATACATGCACACATACATACATATATGCATACATACGTACATACCTACATACCTGCATACATGCATACATACATACATGCTCCCATACATAACAACATATACACGTGTGCATACGTACATACATACACCTATGCATACAGACATACATACACACATACATAGATACACACGTGCATACATACATACATTCATGTATACATACATACATACACATACACACGTACGTACACACATACATACATACATTCATACGTACATACATGCATACATACATACCTACATACATACATACTTACTTACTTACATACATGCATACTTACATACCTACATATATACATACATACATACATGCCCGCATACATACATTCATGCAGACATACATGCACACATACATACATACATATATACACACGTGTATACATACATACATACAAACAAACTTACATACATACATACATACACACACCTACATACGTACATACAGACATACATACATGCATACATACATACATTCATATTTGCAGACATACATACACATACATACATACATACACACATACATACGTACGTACACACATGCATACATGCATGCATACGTACATACATACATACATGCATACATACATACATACCTACATACATACATACTTACATACATGCATACTTACATACTTACATATACACATACATACATACATGCCCACATACATCAATACATGCAGACAAACATACACACATACATACATACATATATACACGTGCATGCATACATACATACAAACAAATTTGCAGACATACATACACACACCTACATACGTACATACAGACATACACACATGCATACATACATACATGCATACATACATGCATACATACATACATGCATACATGCATACATACATACATGCTCCCAT